TGAACCTTACAAATGTGTTAGCTTTTATAACAATTTTGGCTCTGTTTTTTAAAATCATTTGTATTTGTTCTTTTTAGTTATACATGACAGTAGAATGTATATCATGAATACATGGAGTATAACTTCCCATTCTTGTGGTTGTACAAGAAGTGAAGTTACACTGGTCACGTATTCTTATATGAACATAGGAAAGTTATGTCTGATTCATTCTACTGTCTTTCCCATTCCCGTCCTTCCTCCCTCCCCCTCAATTCTCCTCTGTTTACCGGCAAATGCCATAATTTCATTCTTCTTTATAGCTGAGTAATGTTCCATTGTGTATATGTACCACATTTTTTTTTATCCTTTTGTCTATTGAAGGTCACCTAGGTTGGTTCCATAGCTTAGCTATTGTTAATTGAGCTGCTATGAACATTGATGTGACTGTGTCACTACCATATGCTGATTTTAAATCCCTTGGGTATATGCCAAGGAGTGGGATAGCTGGGTCAAATGGTGGTTCCATTCCAGGTTTTCTGAGGAATCTCCATACTGCTTTCCAGAGTGGTTGCACCAATTTGCAGTCCCACCAGCAATGTATGAGTGTACCTTTTCTCCCACATTCTCACCAATATTTATTGTTGCTTGTATTCTTTTTTTTTTTTTTTTTTTTGTGTGTGTGTGTGTGGTGCTGGGGATTGAACCCAGGGCCTTGTGCATGTGAGGCAAGTGCTCTACCAACTGATCTATATCCCCAGCCCATTGCTTGTATTTTTGATAATTGCCATTCTGATTGGAGTGAAGTGAAATCTCAATGTAGTTTTAATTTCTCTACTTTCTAGTGATGTTGAACACTTTTTCATATATCTGTGGGCCATTCATGTTTCTTCTGTGAAATGTCTGTTCAGTCCTTTGTCTATTTATTGATTTTTTTTGGTATTAATTTTTGAGTTCTTCATATGTCCTGGAGATTAATGCTCTATCTGAGATGCAGATGGCAAAGATTTTCTCCCTTTATGCAGGGTCTCTCGTCATGTTCTTGATTGTTTCCTTTGCTGTTAAGAATCTTTTTAGTTTGATATGATCTCATTTATTGATTCTTGATTTTACTTCTTACATTTTAAGAGTCTTGTTGAGGAATTTGGTTCCTAAACCAATATGATGGAGATTTTTTTTTTTTTTTTTGCATCAGGGATTGAACTCAGGGGCACTAGACCCCTGAGCCAGGTCCCCAGACCTGTTTTGTATTTTATTTAGAGATAGGGTCTCGCTGAATTGCTTAGCACCTTGCTGTTGCTGAGGCTGGTTTTGAACTCATGATCCTCCTGCCTCAGCCTCTCGAGCTGCTGGGTTTACAGGCCTGCACCACTGCACTCTGCCATGATGGAGATTTGGGCCTACTTTTTCTTTTAGTAGGTAAGGGTCTCTGATCTAATGCCCATGTCCTGGATCTATTTTGTACCTTTATTTATTTATTTATTTATTTTTATTGTGCTGCTGAGGATCAAACCCAGGGCCTCACACATGTCAGGCAAATGCTCTAATACTGAGCCACAACCCAGACCTCTTGATTCACTTTGAGTTGAGTTTTATGTAGGGTAAGAGATAGGGCTCTAATTTAATTTTATTACATATGGATTTCCAGTTTTCCCAGCACCATTTGTTGAAGAGGCTATCTTTTCTCCAATGTATGCTTATGGCACCTTTGTCTAATAAGAGATAACTGTCTTTATGTGGGTTTATCTCTGGGTCTTCTGTTCTGTACCATTGGCCTTCATGTCTGTTTTGGTGACAATACCATGCCATTTTGGTTTCTATAGCTCTGTAGTATAATTTAAGGTCTGGTATTGTGATACCTCCTGCTTCACTTTTCTTGCTGAGAATTGCTTTGGCTATTCTGGGCCTCTTATTTTTCAAATGAGTTTCATGACTAATTTTTCTATTTCTATGAAGAATGGCATTAGAATTTTAATGGGAACTGCATTAAATCTGTATAGCACTTTTGGTAGTATGGCCATTTTGACAATATTAATTCTGCTATCCAGGAACATGAGAGATCTTTCTAACTTCTAAGGTCTTCTTCAAGTTCTTTCTTTAGTGCTCTATAGTTTTCATTGTAGAGGTCTTTCACCTCTTTTGTTAGATTGACTCCTAAGTATTTTATTTTAATTTTTTTTAAGGCCATGGTGAATTCGGGATAGTTGTCCTATTTTCTCTTTCGGTTGATTCATCACTTATGTTTAGGAATGTAATTGATTTATGGTGTTAATTTTGTATCCTGCTACTTAAGTTCTAGAAGTTTTCTGGTGGTGTTTGTTGGGTCTTCTAAATATAGAATCATGTCGTCAGCAAATAGGGATAGATTGAGTTCTTCTTTTTCTATTCAGAGTCCTTCAATTTCTTTCTTCTAATTGCTCTGGCTAGAGTTTCCAGGACTATATTGAATAGAAGTGGTGAAAGAGGGCATCCCTGTGTTCTAGTTCTTAAAGGGAATGCTTTCAATTTTCCTCCTTTTAGAATGATGTTGGCCTTAGGCTTAGCATATATAGCTTTTACAATGTTGAGTTATGTTCCTACTATCCCTAGTTTTTCTAGTGTTTTGAACATGAATCGATGCTGTATTTTGTCATTGCTTTTTCTGCACCTATTGAGATGATCATGTGATTCTTGTCTTTAAATCTATTGATGTGATGAATTATGTTTATTGATTTCTGTATGCTGAACCAACCTTGCATCTCTGGGATGAATCCCACTTGATCATGGTACACTATCTTTTTAATATATTTTTGAATGCAATTTTTGGCTGTGTTTTTTAAAAGTAGCTTTATTAAGGTATGATTGACATACAGAAAGCTGCAGATATTTAACATATACAATTTGATGAGCTTGTTGACCATCTTATTGACATAGTTCACAATAGGACTATTCAGACTATTGATTCCTTTTATTAATGTACATAACTTGAGAAGAAAAAATGTTTTTTAAAGATCAGACTCTTTTAATGTATCCTGATTGGCTTTGATTGCTATTAAAAGAATGTGTGTGTGTGTGTGTGTGTGTGTGTAAAAGATTATATAGCCTGGCGTGGTGGCACATTCTTGTAATCCCAGCTGCTTGGGAGGCTGAGGCAGGAGGATCACAAGTTCAAAGCCAGCCTCAGCAACTTAGCAAGGTCCTAAGCAATTTAGTGAGACCCTGTCTCTAAATAAATAAATAAAAATAAATTTTAAAAGGGCTGGGGATGTGACTGAATGGTCGAGAGGCCCTGGTTCAATCCCTTGTATAAAAAAAAAAAAAAAGAACATGCACATTCTTCATCTTTTTTCCATTTATTGGTTCTAAAATAACCTTGGTACATGGACATATTAATATAAGCCCACATGTGGTACCCTCAGACCTACAGTTAATGTACCAATACTACATTGGCCTTGAGTACTCCTATTTTATATGGATAAACTTTTTTGGTACATCTTTTCTGCAACGATGTTCCACAATAAACTCATTTGGAGAAATTTATTGGCTATGTTTTCAGTGATATTTTAGTGTTTGAGCATATAGTACATATAGTACACACACCTTTGTTGTGTATAAAATAATCCTGGAAAGTGTCTTTTTCCAAATGAGTAAAAAGCAGTGTGTAATACTTAGTAGTGGTCAGGTTTGGACCCTACAGAACTACATAAAGCAGGCAACTATGTTCCATCTCTTGGCTGTGCAAATTATCTCAGAGAGAGAGAGAAAGCAGATGTCTGTGTAGAATGTTCTTGGTCACTGGACACCTAATAATCAAGGTCTTATATTGACCATTATTGTTCTAGTTTCGAGGATTTGGGGACATTTCCCAAGTTCAAAAGAATCATGGTCAGTATTTGTAAAGTGTTGGTAACTGTGAAGTAAAATGATGGGGAATACGGTAGTAAATTATATTTCTCTCCACTTTGGCATAACTTTTTAAGAATTTAAAGAGTAAAGAAATGCCATGGTACATGCCAGTAGGTCAGGAAGCTGAGGCAGGAGGATCACAAGTTCAAAGCCAGCCTCAGCAACTTAGTGAGGCCCCACGCCACTCAGTGAGACCCTGACTCAAAATATATAAAGGGCAGGGGATGTGGCTCAGTGGTTGAGTGCCCAGTTCTAAAAATTTTTTTAAATGAAAAGAAATGCAAGAGCCCTTTGGGAGAATTTAATACAGTTGTTTTTTCTGATGATAATAATAAGACTTCCTACTAAAACCACAATTTGCTTGGATTTATTAAGAGTCCTTTTGGAGCCCCATCTTAATTGAATGTCAGAAGTTGAGTAAAACAATGAAGGAATGCTGTACCTTATTTAAACATAGCAATAAATTACTCTTCCACACTCACTTTTGACATACCAAAAAAAGGTCAGTAACATGCTACTATTATACAAAGCAATTAGATTTATGTAATATTGTCTTATATATTTATATTTGTTAGTCACTAGATTATTAATCTCATGCACTGTTTTGGTGTTACAAGTCATGTTGCCACTGTTCATCGGTTTTAGAAACTATTTCCCTGACTTTGATTTGTTTTTATCATGTCAGACATATTGCTGAACAGCAAGAAAAGGGTTAAAAAATAGTTCTAATGAATAAAAGATGTGACATTCGTCTGCATGCATTTTTGTAGTATTGATCACACCATAATTCTATTTTGAGTCCCTCATTTAATAGCAATAATAATGTTTTCATGACTATCACAGCTTCTCTCTCTCTCTCTCTCTCTCTCTCTCTCTCTCTCACACACACACACACACACACACACAGATCTCTCTCTCTCTCTCTCTCTCTCTCTCACACACACACACACACACACACACACACACACACCTCTCAAGCTGCCAGTCTGTCTTAAGGCAGTGGCAGACGCCTGATTGGCAGGCTCTGTTTATTCTGTGACCAGATTCCTTCTAAAAGAAGGCTGGCCATGACTGCCTGAAGCCTATTGGCTGGGCATACTCAGGATCCTCCCCCCCCCCCCCCCCCCCCCCTTTTTTTTTTTTTTTTTTCATGGCACACACCACAGCAAAGTCTGTGCGGAATCCTAAACCAGCCCAATTTACATCCATTCATGAATCTGTGACGTCAGCAAGCCTTTGGGCTCCTTTGCGGTGGGCTGGAGGATTGTGCGGGTGGAATCCCCCTCCCCTTTATTTTTCTAATTCTGCAAGTCTCTTTAATAACCTTCCATCTTTTTAAAGCAAGAAAATGGAACAGCATGTGTAGGAATTCTTCATTGTTGTGAGTATTGCACTCTATTTTTCTGTTTCATCACTATTTATCTCACAAGGACAGATGGAGAATGTATTTGTGATTTGGGGTGATTAGAAAATTGATATTATTGAGGGAGAGAGGGTGAGAGAGACAGAGGCGGAGAGAAACCTGAAACCCGGTTACAGCTAGGAGCCGCTGAAACTGACAGCTGGTTTTCCTTTGCTTGTCTGCCTGCTAGACGTGGACATTTTTCATTTACGGATCTGCACGTTACCTCTGGATGCTGGCTTGGCTTTCCTTAAAGGGAGATTCATTTCTCTTTGAGATGATGTGGGTGGTATTAGAGGAAAAGCAGAGAACACTAGAAAGGTGCTGTGGAAAGTGGGACTAGCAAGGCAGAGCAGGTTCTATCCTGTGGAGCACTTGCCTTCGCTGCCGCGGTCCTTTCCATCCTTATTCACCCTTCACCTTGCCTTTGTTTCATAATTGTGTAACAATCAATAACTTGAGAGCCCACTTTGGGGAAGATGAATACTTCTTGCTAACCATTTTTCAGCAGCTTTCATGATGGGAGTTATAGGGTTATATTTATATGTATTTGGAGCTCTTCTTATGTCACTCCATATACTTTATTTATATCATCAAAGACCTAAAAACCTGCACCAGAAGCAAAAGAGAAATTACCCTTAAATTCTAATTTTTAAAAATACCCCTAATGAAGTGATTTCCTGCTAAGCTCCAAAATTATATTGCATAGAAATGAAGATGAATATTTTTCTAAGATGAACTTCCAACTTTAGTTTATTACACTGTGTTTGGGAAATATGGAAAAGTTCTGTTGTGTGACATGTATGAAGCTGATTTTATCGTTTGCTTGTCGTTTTAACAAAAAGTATCTGTGATTGAATTTATTTTCCAAGCCTCTGTTTATTCTGGTGGAAGTTATGATACTAAAAAAGAGGGATGTGACATTGTGACATGTTCTACCCCTGGGGCAACTCCTCAACCCAAATAATCTTGTAGCATTTTCCAACTATCTCACTTTGAGTATTTTATATGCTAGTCAGCAACATGCCCTTGTTTTTTCTTTCTAGTGAGAGAGACATCAAAATGCCAGTTATTTATTATCTAGCCTTATGTTTACCTTGTGCAATCAATATAGTTTGAGACTTTCATATTATAATCTTTTCTCATGAGCAGTGCTTCTAAATTATAGCTCTAATGATATCTTTTGAATTGTTCTTAATGAATCTTCTAACTGTAAACTAATTTAATTTCAAAATTATCATACCTAAGGATGTAACACTTTCTTTTGTTTCTCAGATTGGCATCTCACTTCCTGATTTTGTTTTTCTGAGTGTATTGAACTTGCTCAAGTTATGGAAGGGAAAACCTCTCCCTAATTTCATATCAAATCTTTGTCCTATACTCAGACTATTGTGGTTTATTTGCTGGGTTGAACAAACAAGATAATGTTTCAGACAAAACTCCCTATATTTGTAAACATCGTCACTTATTTCAGCGTTTTCCTTTTTTTGTGTGTACCTTTAGAGACTTTGAAAGTAGCAATTTCAAGCTTATTTTTAATTATTGATGTTTACCAGATCAAAGATCAAATTCTTGACATTTAAAAAATATTGTGTTTTTGGGCGGGAGGTATAGCTCAGTGGTAGTGCATGAGGCCCTGGGTTTAGTCCCTAGCACTGGAAAAAAAAATATTGTGTCTATATAACTAAACTCATGTTAAAAAATGTTCACCAGGGGTTGGTGATGAAACTCCATGGTAGAATGCTTGCCTAGCATGCACAAGACCCTGAGTTCAATTCCCCGCACCCCCCCCCCCCAAAAAAAAAGAAAGAAAGAAATGTTCACTAGACTCTTCTATGCACATCTTGCCAAAAGAGAGTTTTACTTCCTTGAAAGAAATACAGTCTGCACTTGGATTTGTTAAAGTAAAACTGTCCCTTTAAGGCACAGGGTGGATGTAGAATCCCCTTTCTCCCTACTCCTAGTGGCTGTGTTCCAGATTATATTTATTTTCATGTATAGTGTACTTGTAGGGAAAAAAAACAATAACTCTTAATTGTTTAATATCAAACAATAAAATCCTGTGTATCAGTGACTGTCAATAGATGGCTTTCTGTTTAAAAATTGAAACTACTCCAGAAGAAGGAATTAATTTATTTAGTAAACAAAGTCAGTCAAACCAGAACCATGTCCTGGGGAACTGTCAAAAGAATGGTTCCTAAGGGCCAGAGGCCACATACACTGGTATATGACAGAACAACCATACTTTGATGGTGGAACCGGTCAGTTTGGTTTGCTCTGTCTACCTGCCTTCTTTCTGTGTGCTACAGCTGAATTAATTGCTTGGGGAGCTCAAATGAATCAAGATAGCCAAGACAACAAATCTGCCAAGTGGCAACCTGACTCTTATAATTTTGATTAAAATGAAGATTCCCCAAGAATACTCAGCTGCTCCAAAACAAACAAAAAGTCATTCAAATATAACACACTCCTATTCTGTACTGGTTATTATTCTGTAAAGATATGGAAGAGACAAAGATTTAGAAGATACAATCTTTACTCCCAAGGAATCTAGAAGGTTAGTTATCAGAAATAGGCTTTAACATTAGAATTACCTGTGGAACTTTTCCTCCCTCTCCCTCCCTCCCTCCCTTCCTTGCTCTTATTTTCACTACTCAGTAGTTCTCAGTATTCACAGAGTTGAGCAAACATCTCCACAATCAACTCTAGAACATTTTCCTCATCACAAAAAGAAACCACATACCCATTAGCAGTCACTCCTCATTTCTCCTAACACCCAGCCCTAGACAACCATGGAGCTACTTTTTCTATAAATAGATTTGCCTATTCTGGACATTCGTATAAATGAAATCATATAATATGTGGTCTTTTGTGTTTAGCTTCTTTATCTTCTTAATGTAGTGTTTTCAAAGTTCATCCATGTTATAGCATGGATCAGTACTTTATATCTTTTTATTGCCAAATAATATTTTACTTACCTTTCATCTGTTGATGGACATTTGGATTGTCTGTGCTTTTTTGCTATTAGTAATACATTCATGTACAAGTTTTGTATGAGCATGTTTTCATTTTGGGAGTGGAATTTCTGGGTCATATAATAACTATAGGCTTAACATTTTGAGGAGATACTGGTTTCCAAGTGGCTGCAGCATTTTACATTTCCATCAGCAATGTATTAGGCTTCCAATTTCTCCACATCCTTGTGAGCATCTGTTAATGTCTATCTTTTTAAATAGAGCCATTTTAATGAATTTGAAGTGTTATTTCCTTGTGGTTTTGGTTTATATTTCCCCAATAATTAATGATGCTGAGCATTTTTTTTTTGTACTGGATATTGAATTTAGGAGCGCTTTACCACTGAGCTCAATCCCCAGCCCTATTTTGTATTTTATTTAGAGACAGGGTGTCACTGAGTTGCTTAGTACCTCGAAGTGGCTGAGGCTAGCTTTTAACTCTCCATCCTCCTGCCTCAGCCTCCCGAGCTGCTGGGATTACAGGCATGCACCAAGCTCAGCTCAAGCATCTTTTTAATGTGCTTATTGCCTATCTGTGTATTTTTTTTTTTAGAAATGTCTATTCAAACCCTTTGCCTATGTTAAAAATTAAATAATTTATGTTTTTATTATTAAGAGTCCTTTCCATATGCTGGATACAAGCTCTTTATCAAATATATGATTTGCAGATATTTTCTCACTCTCTGAGGTGTCTTTTTCACTTTCTTGATGATAGCATTTAAAATTTAGTTTATTATTTTTTCTTTTGTTATTTGTGCTTTTGCCTAACTCAAGTTCATTAAGATTTTCTTTTATGTTTTCTTCTAAGCATTTATATTTTTAACTCTACATTTAGGTCTATAATCCATTTTGAGTTAATTTTTCATATGGTATAAGAAAGAGGTTTAACTTCATTCTTTTAATGTGGCTATCCAGTTGTTCCAGTAATATTTATTTAAAAGACTGTTATTCCCCTTGTTGAAATATCTTGGCATCTTATCAGAAAATTAAAAGAAATTGATGATGCCATAATTACCCCTCTAGAGATTCATATTTAATTGGTCTGTGGTGGGGCCCAGTCATCTGTATTTCTTAAAAGCTCCTCTGATGATTCTAATGTGTATCCAGGGCTGAAAACTATTGGCATGAATACAGGGTTAGTCTTAGAAAAGAAGAGAGACACTTTCTGAATCAGGAGAGAGAATGAGCAAAAACATGGAGTTCTGACCTGAAAGGAGGGAAGAAAGGAAAATTAAGAAGATTCATACCAGAAAGCATAGAATTTCTTGTTAATCGGGGAGTGGAGGTATCATTAGAGGTTTTGTGAAATATGTCAAATTAAAGGAAGATGGGGAGCTAATATTTATTAAGCACTTTCTACATGCCTTTAAAACTGCTAGGAGTTTTTACATATATAATTTTATTTAAAATATAATCCTCATGATATGAACTAGGTGCTTTTATCCCCATTTTATTTTCCCATTGAGGAAAAAGACTTAGAAAGGCTGCTGACTCAACCAGAGATACCAGGTCGTGGATGTTATACTCCATTTTCAAACACAGCTCTAATTCTTAATCCTATTCTATTTCTTCTGTATACCACGGAGTTTGAGTATTGAGTAAATTTAATAACTTCTCTAGCACTGCTATGGGCTGGACAAAGATAAGTTGGAGGATGGTGGTCACAAAAGGTTGAGGGTTGGTACAGCAGGTGCATCCATGGGGGAGATAAGATGATAGAAGTAAAGAGGATTATCATGTCACAGATAATTGCGGTGAGCCCCAACTGGCTTGAGGGTCTAAGGGTAACATAATGGCAATGAAAGAATGTTTGAAAAGGATGACAGGGAAACCATGAGGGGATAGACAATGAACCAAATAGAACTGGCAACTGTAGAGGAGGTGGTATTCATTTTTTCATTCATTTAAGCAACACATTCGAGTATTTATTATGTGTTCTAGGTACACAGCAGTGAAGAAGATGGA